TTTACAACTTGCTGAGTAATTATATTATTTTGCTCTGTTTAAACCTCAGTTAGCATAACCCCGCTGGCGTGGCCTATGAACTAGGAGGTCACGGTTTGATTCCCGGGAGGCAGCCGATCGATGATTCTCTCTCATCATTGATGTTTCTCTCTCTTCCTCTCTGAAATAAAAAAGAATATATTCTTCAAAAACTTAACTTCAGTTAGCCTAAAGGGTGTGTGTGTGTGTGTGTGTGTGTGTGTGTGTGTGTGTATACATACATTCGTATATACAGGGTGTCCCCAAAAAATGTATACACACTTTGAATGATTATAAAGCCAGTGGTTATTAATATACAGTTCATTTTCAAAATTTAAAATAATCTACAGAAATTAGTCTTTTTTTTTTTTTTTTTTTTTGTCAACGCCTGTTTTCAAATCGATGACCGTTCTGGTCCAGGCACTGCTGATAATGCAAAAAGCAATGGAATTGCAAACATCCAAGACTCATTTTGTTTGGTAATTGTGGGCTCTCAATTCATCAATTGTTGCTGCTTTAATACCATAAACTTTATCTTTTATGTATCCCCATAAAAAATAGTCTAGTGGCACTTTAGGATAAATTTTTTTTGGTCAAAGCTTAGTCTGGCTTCACCCATTATTTCAAATCAGTTAAACCTGAAAAGGAGTGAAAATTAAGTGAGTTATCAGTTTTTAAAGTGTGTATACATTTTGTGGGGACACCCTATATGTTTATACATACACACAAATATGACTTTTAATATACAACATATTAAACTTAATAAATATATATTAAAAGAAGATATGACTTTAAGTTTATTAGAGGAAATGGATTAAAAAAAACCATTAAGAAACATGGTTCTAAAATCTCATCACACATACGGAGCATCTGTTTCCCTTCTCCAGATCAGTATCTGTCTCTGGAAGATACTAAAGACACAGTTACACCAGAAGGGATGCGACAGATGACAATACTTTCCAAGGACCACAGGAAATCATCATACAAAGGATTTTACACATAACCTCATTTATTTGTTCTTCATAACTGTATGGTGAAAATATTATTGTCATGCTCATTTTATAGATGAGGAAATAGAACTGCAAGCTTCAACTTCTATTTTACCCAACTGATCTGGGAGGTACAAAGATGTATAACAACACCTTCCCTGCCCTTAATGGTCTTTGTCTCAAAGTGCTTTTCTATCCAGGCAGCTTAGCATCATAAGAGGCTTCCTAGGAGGGAGCTACTGGTCCTTCTATGTGTAGCCACTGATTGTCCCTGGGAGGGAGGGGTCTCTGTCTATGGCAACATCTCACTGTAGAGATCTTTGGGTCTAAGATTTAATGCTCGTTTGGTCTAGACATCCAAGCTTCTCTGGGTCTGCTCTGGCCCTATGGTTTGAATAAATTAGGATTGATACTACAAATAGTAAGAGCTGGCTACCTGTCATGACCAGATCCTGTACCAAGCCCCCCTTTTTTATTGGGCTTGGAGGTGCCCAGGCAAGGCCCAGCTGTGAAGCAAGGCAGGTTAGTGCTAGAACCAGGTCTTGGGCCTTTCATTGATAGGTTTGGGGCATGCTGTCACCAGCAGTAACTTGTTTGAGAGATGTTAGCAAAGTCTCAAGCCCTTTAAATTAGGACCTCATTTTGTCCTACAGCAGCCCAATGGGCTAGGTATTCTTACTGCCTTTAAAGATGGAGCAAAAGAAACTAGGAGTGGTTAAGGAATATACCTAATGTCATACTTGAGCTTGCTTCCAAACCCATACTCAGCCATTAGGCCAGCATTTCTCAAAGAACAGGCCACACAGGTCAAGCTTAGGAGAGGCTCATTTTAAGCGGTCAGATTCCTGGGCTACACCCAAAGCTGAACTAGAACCTGTGGAGCTGAGGCTAAGGACCTGACTTTTAATCATATTTCTCTGGTGAATCTTTAGCACATCAAAATTCGAGAAACACTGTAACATGCTATGATTGAGGGAAATTTTCCAGTTGCAAATGTATGCTTATCGGGCAAGGAAACTTCAAACCCACTAGACTTAAAGGATTTGTGTATAGATACTTGCAACAGACCACTTTCATAATTTAAGCAAAAGCACCAACCATTCCCATCATCACTTCAGGTTTTACTAAAGTAAGGAAGTCCGTGTACTGCTGTACTTGACGTTTACCACTAGAGAGTGCGAATTCTCTGGTAAAGGAATGGGTGCTTGGCAGTCTCTCAAAGAATCTGAAGCAGGCACGGCCAGAGGCAGAAATCAGGAAAACCAGAAACACCCACAGAATGTGCCTTGGTGAAATGTCCTTTCCTTGCGAGCACCCAGCTGCAGTGCCTATGCACCTTCTTCCATCATAAACCAGTGACTCCTCCCCTTGATGATATAAGATGCCCAGTGACTTGAAGGGCTGAACAAGTGGCAGTCTCATTGATGAGCCTCACGTGAATTTCCAGAAGAGATAAAACCGGCAGCGTGTAGACCTGGCTGCTTCCTGAATCTCTTCTCTCCCCTAACAATAGCAAAACAGCCTTCTTTTATGACCATCAATTTTCCCACAATAGGCATCTGCAACCTCCGAGGATAATGTGGTTTTGTAGTAAGACTGATTCACCTCACACAGCCTTTGTTGTGAGCGGATAGATGGGAGAAAGTGCTACTAATTTTTTTTAAAAAAGTGAATAATTCTCGGTTGTCAGTGCAGCATCGTTTGTGCAGTCAGCTGAGTGTGAGTCTCTTTAATAGGATTTATGACACAGAGCAGTCTGAGGAATTTCCCATTGCAGTGAGGGAGGTGTCGCTCAGGGCCAACACAGGGATGTAGATTATAGCATAGGGAATATAGTCAATAGTATTGTAATAACTATGTATGGGGGCAGGTGGGTAATTGAAATATTGGGGGACCACTGTGTAAAGTACATAACTGTCTAACCACTATGTGGTATACCTGAAACTAATACAAAATAATATTGAATATAATAGATAGATAGATAGATAGATAGATAGATAGATAGATAGATAGATAGATAGACAAGATTGAGTTAACTAGGAAAACAAGGGGAGAAGCAAAGGGGTTGAGGTTCAGGTAGAGGATGGACTGTGTTCAGGACAGAGGCCCAGAAGTGGGAGAGTGCGCTGCAGATGTGGAACTGGAAGGAGAACCCCCAAAACTGGATCACACATAGACTTTAAAAATGCAACTATGACTTGACTATAATTTTTCAAAGTAGAATTCATAACATTTCCTCTGTGAAATGTCTGTCTTGAAATCAGACACCAATTACAAGCAATTAGGGAAATTTCCAGTGAGAAATTTGGTATCTCTGATTCATTTGCCATTCTCAAGCATTTCATCTTGCAGGTTAAATTCTTTATCTCATTTTCAGAAATGCATCTGGGAAATGAACATTCAAACACTACCTCTCATTCTAATTTGTTTCTGATAGCTACAGCTATTCTAGAATGTTCTTTGTGTAGTCACTTCATGCTCCTTAAAGACTAAAGGGAATAGAAATGATTACGATTCTCCTGACTAGGTCTGTAAACATATGCTACCTTCAAGGACAGCCACTGGTAGAACAAGCTCCTACACAGTGTCGTTAATAGTTTTTCAGAGACCTCAAGTTCACTGTTCTTAAGCAGATTTCCTGGTCTTGGAGAAAAATGTGTGGCACTGTAGACACACCAAATCAAAAGCTGTTCTTTTCATGCTTTAGATCATGCTTTCTATTTCGTCCCCTCCGTATCTAGTTTGAGCCTCATTTCTCTGTCCTTTCATTGTATCTATTATTTTCTCCCCTCCTTAGATCTCTCTGCATATTCTACAGCCTGAAACTCCTTAAGAAATGGCCTAAAATCATTTGACTTCATTCTTTTTTTTTACAAAAATGGCTTCATCTACTCAGCAAAAAATATATTACGCAGGTGAATCCTATCCTACACATTTAGAACGAGCCCTTGTTCTTAAAAAAGGTTTGTGATTTCAGATGTATGTTCCAAAGTAGTCAGTCTTCTCCCTTCCAAATGTGTAAGCCTTGAGTTCAGTGGAAAGCAGAGTAGTATTTTAGAGTGCTGTTACTGGGGGCTCTTGTTGGTCATTCTCTCTTTTGTTTTTCTAATCCTACCCAGTCAAAAGAGTTGACCATCCCTGATAAAATAAAATTCTGCTTCTGCACATGGTTCCAATGTGCAGAAGACCTAAGGACGGGAGTTCCACAACAATCAGAGTGTCATGAGAGTGGGTTGCAGCACTCTTCGGCATCTTCACCAACTCTGATTTGACTGTCAAAAATTTGACTTAAAAGAACTTCATAACCTATCGCTCTATCTAAATCACAATGAGATACCACTTCACACCTAAGATCACTATGATTTTTTAAAAACAATAGTGCTGTTGTAGATGTGGAGAAATGGAAACCCTTATGTATTGTTGTGTAAAATGGTTCAGCTGCTGTGGGAAACACGTTGGCATAAAAAAGTTAACATACGGTTACACATGACCCTGCAATTCTATTCCTAAATATATACCCAAAAGGATTGAAAACAGATACTGAAACAAGTACATTACACACATGTTCATAGCAGCACTATTCACAATAGCCAAAAGGTGAAATCAGCACACACCTCCATCCCTCGATGAATTGTGTATAACAAATTGTGTATATACATACAATGGGGTATTACTGAGCCCTAATAAAACAAAACAAAGTACTGACGATACATGGTACAGTGTGGATGAACCTTCAGAAAAGTTACGTTTGAGTGAAAGAAGCTAGATACAAAAATTCACATATTGTATGGTTCCAATTATAGGAAATATCCAGAATAGATAAATCCATAGACACAGAATGCGGATTGGTTACCAATGGCTGGGAAAAGTGGTGGTTATACAACATTGTGAATATCTTAAATGTCACTGAATTTTATCTTCTGTGAATTTCACCTCAATAAGTTATTTTTCTAATGAAACAAATTAAAAATGATGTATTTCCCTAGGCAAAACTTGGATAGGTAACACATTTTATTGCTGACAGGAAACTGCTAAAGCAATAACACACACACTTCATTTCTGTTGGTAAGGAAACCTTGCCTAAAGTCAGGAATAGAACAAATGTCAGCTAGTTGCTTGTTTTCTTTTTCTTATTCATCAGCCTTTATATAAGCAGGAAACATAATGGAGCTTATTTCTTGAGCAATCTGTAAATGCTTTTCCCTCTGCAAAAGCTGTGGAGGAATTTTCAGCATCTTCTTCAGACTCAAGATTGCAGATTCACCATCATTCCACTGTTACATCCAGGACCCAGCCAGACAGTGACTAATTTGAGTAAACAATTTTAAGGTTTCACAGTCAATGTCTTGTATGCCAACCACAGCTTTCCCAGCCTTTGCTCTCCTCCTGGCTTTATATCTGAGTTGCCTACATGACCTTGTTTGCATGTACTAGCGCCCACCAGGAAGTTCAATGATTTCTGTTTTATAAAGAGGGGTATTCCCTGCACTCTGTGTGTGGACAAGGTAGCATCCCTCCCCCAGTGGTCTACTCCCTAATACCAGGACTGTGCCACCCAGATTCTGCTCCGGTTCTCACGCATGAAGAGCCTGCTATGGGTAGCTCAGTGGCTTGTTTCTGCCTTATGACAACTGTGGACTTGGAAGTTTCAGATCCTAGACTATAGAACTAGAGTGTGGCTTGCTCTATGCATGGGGCTTTGAGTCTACGGACATCACCAGCTAAGGGCAAATTAACTTTGCATGTCCAGCTCCATAGACAACCCACTCTTCCCTGAATGATGTTATCCTCAATTTCTTAGCATATGAAGCCCATATACAGCCACATTTCTTCTCACATGTGGGATCAGCTCATCTCCTAGCACAGGGAAAGGTTGTGGAAGCAGATGGCCTGGCTTAGAGACCACCTGCTACTCAGAATTCCTTGTTTGGGATTATATTTCATAGGAATGAGAAAAAATACAGCAAAACATCTAATGCTCTGAAAACATATGCAGAGACTTCTTTAAATACTGGTCATATTATAGTTTGCAGCATAATTTATTATCTGGTCATAGTAGTTGGGGCCATTAATGGATATATTGATTTAACATCATTGTGACCACTCTTGAGACAGAGCAACCCAAAAAGAAAACTTCAAAATGCACAAGAGCAATAAATATCAAACTTTCTGGTCTAAAATGTATAAATATAAAATATCAGTCACTTCTGGAAACATCTTAAGAAAATCCAGGGACCACATGTCCATGGGCAGCTATCCGGTGGTGATGGTGCTAATCTTCAGAACATATCACCTCAGATCCAGCACGATTATTTTTATGTCTTTTACCAACACATGTTTGCATACCTAGGAGAGAAAAAAAATGTCTTTAGATCATAATGTTAACAAAATTCTCTTTAGAGGGAATATGAATTTCCTAAGTTAAAAATGTTCCTAATTTGAAAAAAATATTTCCAATAAGAACAAATGTAATCATGTGTAACCATTTTCAACAAAAAGAAAATATTTACAGAGGCTGCCAAGTAATTTTTATTTTAAATAAATATTAACTTCAAACTAATGTTTCTCAGATGTTACCGCCAGAGAACCACCAAGGAATCAGTTAGAAAGAAAAGCTGTAGCCAGATAATGTTCCTTTTGGGCTATGCAACGCTAACTAAGAAGTTACTGCTATGAAAAAAAATTACATTATGTGGAAATAATTCATGGGACATTCGATATCATTTCATTTAAGAATTGTTTGCTTACTTGGAATCTGAAGAAAACTGTATTTAAGTATCACACAGATTCATAAATGGAAAGGTGACATGGGCTAGGAAGTAAAATAATAGTCAGGACAAATTACAAAGAATAATTAATGTTCTAGATAAGAAAACTCCAAACTAAGCACTACAATGTTTTATCCCATATTATACTACTAAAAAAAGTGAGGAGGTAAAAAAGTAAATATCTGTGCCTGTTCGGCATGGTTCAGTGTTTGACCTTTGACCTATGAACCAGGAGGCCACAGTTCAATTCCTGGTCAGGGCACACGCCCAGGTTGCGGGCTCGATCCCCAGTGTGGGGCGTGCAGGAGGCAGCCGATCAATGATTCTCTCTCATCATCGATGTTTCTCTCTCTCCCTCTCTGAAATCAATAAAAATATATTGTTTAAAATCAAATATCCAACAGTGTCTACTCACGCTGAACAGCCTTGGTTCCTTGGTGTGCGGATGAAAGCCCTTCTTCTTACAGGTGGAGACCTCGAGCATGCCAGCACTGGTGAGCCGGAAGATGCCAGTGCTGAGTTTCAGGGTGAAGGAAAGGTACAAAAATTAAGGATCATCTGGGCTTTCCTGATGCTTTATTTGAATGGCACAAGCATATTCCTCAAATGGGAAGGAGGAAGGCACCACAAACTAGAATTCCAATCTTACAATGACTGGCCTAGAAGTGAGAAACACTGGCGCGGCCAGTGCGAACTCCAAACACCTGCAAGATTGTCCCAGGCAAGAGGCAGCTGACCTGCTGGGGAGACCACAGCAGAAACACCGAGGCCCCCCTGGAGGAGACTGTGGGTAGCAGATCTTTCTAATTGTTTTAACAATGGCAATAGTGGTGATTGCAACAGCAAATATTTATGGAGTGCTGGCTGTGGGGCCAGGCACGATGCTATGCCCTTTACGTAGACTGTCATCTTGAGTTTCATGCTCACATCAACCTGTGATGGGCAGGTGTCAGGGATGAAATGGCCCAGCCTCACGGTGGTCAGGCATCCTGCTAAACACACCAGTTGAGGGTGGAGACTGGATTCCTATATAACTTGACAATGAGTCCTGTGCTTATAATCACTCTATAATAATAATCGTCTCCCAAACCTAGAAAGGTTTTGGAGGTAATTAAATGAAGGCTGGACATTTTCCTACAACAGGAAATAACACAGGAGAACTAACATCTCAAATGATAAACTGGAATAATAACATCCAATTTATTTATCCACTTCAAGGTCATATTAACTGGAGAAAGAGAACCAGCAATTCTCCCACTGAAAAGGACCTTGAAAAGCAAGACTCTAGAGCTAAAGAGACATGGGAACTGGCTGCCACCAATCTTTTCCCTCAAGGGCATGGCGTGTCTGCCTTTTGGAGGGGACACACTTGAACCCAGCAGCCCCAGTCCCAGCCTCACTGGAGCCCCTCCACTTACAGGTACAGGTACTCATTCACTTACTCGTTATGCTTTGGTGAACACACAATGGCAATCGCCTCTGGCAACATGAGCTGATAGGAACAGTGAGTGTGAAGATCGACACTGGATAAGAAAGCCGTTTGGGTCGGATGTGTCTATGGAAAGAGAAGAGGACCATCTTATGGGGTAGCTGAGTCTTAGCCAAGGCCACAGACCATGGGAAGAGAAAACTCTAGTTATTTGCTATTTCTTTCTCACCACCATTAACCAGATATAAACTTCTTAAAGTGTCTGCTGACATATACCTTCCCTGTTTGCATCTTTGGAAAACTATGACTTTGAGAAGAGTTTCTTGGGTGTGTTCATGTCTGTTCTGCTTATTGGAAAAGACAGAACTGGAAATTAATCATCACAACTCATCTAAGGAGACACCTCTATTATTATCTCACTTTTCCACACAGGGATCCCGAGGCTCCTTTAAGCAATTTGCCTGTGGTCACACAGCTGGTCAGGAGGAGAGCTGTGGCGGGAAACCCAGAGGTACTTTACACAAAACCTTGGACACGAAAGGAAAGTTTTCAATAAATTCCCCACATGGTGGCTGTTACCCCTATGTGGATCGCCATTCCCGACCAATGGGAAAACGGAACTCTTCAGGTTGTTCAAGGTGTTTGGGACTCATCGTGCACAGCCAATAAATATGCACATGACGAGAAGGAAGAGATTAAAAAGTAAAGGAATTATCTTCCAGATTTGGGGCTTATAGACACACGTATTTATGAGAGACAAATCAGAGGTTCATACTTGGATATGAAAAACCCATGCAGCCACAACGATTTTAAAATTCACAGTCAACCCAATTACCCTCAACAAAGGAATGTGGCCATTTACATCATGAAACCCAGGTCCTTGGCATGCACTGCCTGGGTCTGGCCTCCTCCACTAGCTGTAGAAGAGTGTGGAGATTCCTTAACTTCCCCATGCCCATTTCCTAGCACATAGAAAGGAATCAAAACCACTCGCTGGCGTTCATTTAACGTTGTCATCACTAACGGGCATGGGCTCATAGAAACAGCTTCATGCCATTATGTAGAACAATAGCTTGTTCAAGAGATGTAAGATTTAAAAATTCCTTCTACTTTATTTACTAGAATGAAGATAAAAATCCATTCATATCAATTTACAGAAAGATACATCTTCTGCAAAGAAAAAAGTAACTCTTGGTCTGCAAAGACCGAGATCAACGGAGGAATGGAAATCACCTCATTTTTTAAAACCCAAATCTTTAGTGAAGGCATGGGTGGGAGGGCCTGACTGTTACCTGTCTCCGTGAAAACCTTCCCTTGACACAGAGAGCCATCTAGGCCTCGGTGAGAAAGTGAGACGTGTTCAGAGGAACTCCAGGGCTCTGGAGGCAGCGAGCAGGCTGTCAAGTAGACCAGTCACTCCGCCTGTCCCTTTCGTTCCAAACTGAATGCACAGAAGGCATTCTTAGCCCTTTGTTGCTGCCAGGAGGAATCACTTCTACTCCATAAGGACAACTGACCCATGGGAGAATGGTGCTTCCCTTCCCCACCTTTTTTATGGAAAAAAAAAATGATGACGATGATGGTAACAATAGCAGCAGATGTCAATTACTGCAATTGAACGAATGGCTTTTTATGAATTATCTCATTTAATTCTCACAACAACAAGATGAGAGAAGCGCTATCATTACCCCCATTTTACAGATGAGGAAACCGAGCTAAGCAGAAGAGTTAATAACACACTGACGGTCATACAGCTCATTAAGCTGAAAAGTCTAAACTCAACTCCAGATCTGTCTGATTCCAATTCAGCCCTTCTTTCCTGTGACTAATTTATATCTGAAAAAAAAAAGTTAGCTGGAGAATTTGTTCCTATCATTGTGCCAATGAAAATCTTCACAAAAAGTCATTACAATCACTGAAGTTTAGACATATAGCATTTTAGTGCTTTCACTGAACCGTAAAAATTGGTATAGTGAACGAAACAAAAAGCAAAATCCTAGAATTATGCCAAATCCATTATGTAAATGACCCAATTTCATTATTGCATACATTAGATACCTAGGACATCAGGGAAAAACTCTGATTTCTAATTAGGGAAATGTTTTGTAAGATACACTAGCATTGACTTTTTGATGTAAGCAAATTTAATGGGCTGTCATTCTTCCTAAGTATATGTTACAATTTATTTGCTACAATTTTTTTTGCTTTAAAATACTTTTTTGTTACAGAAAATCACATTAAATAATTCCTTAAATTCAGCAATTTCTAAGCAAACAGTAAGGCACATTACTGACTGTTAAGTAAAACAAATAGACATAGGGAATGTTTTGCAAACTCTTCATTATAAATAATCTCTTGTATTTGAGAGGCAGTTTATACTTTCACAAGGCTTTCAACCTGGCATCTTGCTTACAGCTCACACAAATCTGGTGAGGGAGAGAGGGTTTACATTAGCCCCACCTGGCCCGTGAGAGACCCTGGAAGCAAGGAGGTTAAGAGTCCTGACCAAGGGCACATGGAAATTTACAGGTGAATTCTCCTCTCCTCTCTTGAATTACAGAATACCAAATGTTCCGTGACATTGTGGGTGCGGATGTGTGTAGGTGTGTGTGCGTGCGTGTGTGTGTGTGTGTGAGTGTGTGTGTGTCCTGCCCCTGTTCAGTACTTCTCTATAAAGCAAGTAAAAAATGGTCACATCATTCGTCAGGGGCTCTTGAAGGTCCCCAGGATGTGCCCTGGAAATCTTGGCTGGGACCCCCTAACGGCAGGATGACTTGTCCCTACCCCAGGCCCAGATGTGTGAGACTGAATGGAAAAATATCCCCCGAGAGATTACACTAAGGATAGAAAAGTAGAGCATTAGCACCAAAACCAACAACTGCAATTTTCCGAGTCCCTAGAAAAACGTGCTAAGGAATTCCTGACATCATCTCATCTAACACTCACCATCACCTTAGGTCAGTTATTCTGATCCCTGTTTCATGGATGGGAAAGCTGATACTCAGACTGCGTTTTTAGTAACTTGCCAATGAACTCTTAGCAGAGCTGAAATTTAAACTCACATCTTTTCATTCCTAAGCCCATTCTTGTTCCTGCGATGGCCTGGTGAATGGTAGGAGCCAATATTTTCAGCCCCTTCCTTTTGGCCCTAATCTGTGGCTTGTGTACAGTTTATACATCATTGACCTGCAGGGGAGGTACAATGGAATATATGGTCCCTACTTAATATGTACAAAAACCTGTTTAATAGAAACATTTTCCAACATTTTCTTAAAAGGAAAGGGAACGTTAACAATTATCTAGACAAATTAGTTAAAAATCTCAGTAGGCCTCCATTCTACTCTATAAAAATCATCGAAATTAGTCACTAATTTCCAGACGTCTCTTTCTCTTTTAACCTGGTAGAAAAAAAGCACAATATAACCCTCGCCAGGTTCAGATTTGACAGATTTAGACTTAACATTGAAGAAAATGCTTTGATGTGATGACATTTATTGGACTTGAAAAATATTGAAAGGCTGGGACTATTTAGATTAAGCTGAATTTCCTCAAGGAGGAAAATAACAACAACAACAACAACACACACACACACACACACACACACACACACACACACACACACATACAACTGAGACCCAGAGGACAAACGTACATGGATCCATCCCAGAGTGAGGAGGCCGTGCTGATCCTGAACACTGAATAATTCCTCCACGTTCTCCACATCGCAGTAGTCTGGGCCTGCAGACTGCTTTGGCACGATGATGTGGGTAATGGTAAATTCGTTGTGCGTCTGAAAAACAATTAGCAAAAAGGTATCATCTACTGGCAGAGGAATAAAAAGAAAAGACCTGGCAGAAAAAAATTCATATAGTCCTGAATTTTCTGCCCCACAACTTGCATCATCTTCCCCACCCCTCACCCCTCCCCCAATCACAATTCAAAGAAAAAGTATAGGTACTGAACTAGGAAATGAATTATTTGCCCAAAATGTGAGTCAGCAGTTTGGAGCTTGAAAGCCATTTTCACAATAGAAAATGTACCATAAATAGGTATTAGCATCCTAGACCAGTGATGGCGAACCTTTTGAGCTCAGCGTGTTAGCATTTTGAAAAACCCTAACTTAACTCTGGTGCCGTGTCACATATAGACTTTTTTGATATTTGCAACCATAGTAAAACGAAGACTTATATTTTTGATATTTATTTTATATATTTAAATACCATTTAACAAAGAAAAATCAACCAAAAAAACGTGTCATAGGTTCGCCATCACTGTCCTAGACTGATCTTTGGCAGTTTAGTTAATAAATAATGTTTGGATATATTACATCTATAATGGGAATATCAGAACAAAATAATAGTGGGTTTATTTGGAGGGGAGAACTAGTTCCATACCTTTGTGTTGTTACTAGAGGACATTTCTAAGGCTTTCCGAGGTTGATGGTCTTGTTTTTAATTATATTGGATTTCACTTCCTGACTTACGACTTTCTTCTACTATTGGGAGACTCACTGAGATTTTCCATAATTAGGTTATCTTTTGGATTTGCAATTAGATCAAGAGTAAGTTAAAATAAATTACCCGCCTCCAGTATAAGATAATAGTTGCAAGGAAGAGGGTTATAAAAAGGTGGCAGGAACCTCAGTAAGAGCTATTATGCCGTGTTTAGCTGTCCATCCCTCCATAGTACTCCTTCTTTGAGCTCAGAAGCCATAGACTTCTCTCTAGTCTTAGGGTTTCCCTGAAAACTGGCCAGTCTTCCTCCAGCCTTCATTACAGCTTTCCCCTCCATCCCAGTCCCTCGTTCACGGCTCACTTTATGTATTCTTCCGGCTTGGGGTCAGCATCACTTCTTAGACCCTCCCAGACGAGGTCAGTTTCCTAGTTACACATACTCTTGATCCTGCACTTCCGCTGAGAGCACCCAGCCCCATTTCTCATCTGTCTCAGTCTTTGCAAGCGTCACGTGGCAAAGACTGTTGTAGCTGTTGTAGGCTACCGAATGCCAACACCTAGCACAGTGTCTGGCACATATTTGTCTGATAGGGGAAGGAAAGAAGGAAGGAAGGAAGGAAGGAAGGAAGGAAGGAAGGAAGGAAGGAAGGAAGGAAGAAGGAAGGAAGGAAGAAAGGAAGAAAGGAAGGAAAGATGGAAGGAAGGAAGGAAGGAAGGAAGGAAGGAAGGAAGGAAGGAAGGAAGGAAGATGGAAGGAAGGAAGGAAGGAAGGAAGGAAGGAAGGAAGGAAGGAAGGAAGGAAGGAGGGAAGGAGGAAGGAAGGAAGGAAGGGAACTTAGTACAACACATGGTCCTGGGAGGAAGCATCCACAGCACACTGCCCCCTGAAGGGCAAATAAGGTGACCAAGATGGCTGGTCGTTCTGCTGTGCTTGCCACCTGCGCTTCCTTTCTCCTAGGAAAGGGGAGGATGGAACACTGGAACGCTGTAGGAGAATGTGTACTGGAGAATAAAACAGAGCACGTATTCAATTACACAACAGTTCTTACGCTGAATGTTTAGGGCTGAAAATGTTCCTGTACCCAGCCATAGAAACTTATACCCAAGGAGACTATGAAAGGCCACTTCCAAAAATATATTATTCATCTTTCTTGCAAGTAAGAAATTAATTTCATCTCCTCTCTTTTATTTCCTTCTATGTTGACATTGTCTTTCATCACATATTTCAGATAAAATCTTCCATACTTAAATAGGGCCTGTGCCATAAGATTTCGTTTGTTGAAACTGTTGCCTTGAAGGAAACCACAAAGCCCTAGTTGTACTGCACGCATATCTGACAGAGCGGTGGCAAGGCGATACCTCCCACGGATAAAAGCAGGCAGAGTTAATTATATAAATGTATGTGAAACTAACAATCGCAACAAAAATCTGTCTTAGAAAATTAGATGGTTCTGAAAATCCGAAGACCTGAAATTTTTACCATCCATGTTCTAGAACAGGGGTTCTCAACCTGTGGGTTGCGACCCCTTTGGGGGTCGAACGACGCTTTCACAGGGGTCGCCTAAGACCATCGGAAAACACATATATAATTACAGATTGTTTTTGTGATTAATCACGATGCTTTAATTATGTTCAATTTGTAACAATGAAATTGGGGGTCACCACAGCATGAGGAACTGTGTTAAAGGGTCGCGGCATTGGGAAGGTTGAGAATCGCTGTTCTAGAAGGATAGTTCATGAATAAGGACAGCAGTTTTATGAAATTAATCTCTGAAAAGTTAATAATGTTTGCAACTCATAGGATGCTATATTCCGCTCTGCTTATCACAGACCATCAGCGCTTTGGAAAGTTTCCTGTGCAGAGACATGAAGCAAAGACCATACCAGCTTTCCACAGAGTATTCCACAGGTTTCTATTCCTCTCGCTGTATTAGATTCTGCCAGCAGCAGAAATCTGTGACAAAGATCTCTTGATAAAACTACACATCGCAGTCCTTCAACCACTAAATCTGAGAAACAGAAAAGAGAGAAGAAGAAGCTAAAAAAAACCAAATCTTACAGCCCATCCTTCAAAACAGTTTTTGGTGAGTGACTGCAAATAAGTATAAATATCAAAAATTAAATGATTGAATGCTCCACTTTCCATGTGTTAGTTCAAAACTCTTACAAGTAAACAGTGACTAGAAGGAAGGTAAGAGTCCCTAAACTTGTAAATAGGTGGCAAAGTGCAAGCACTTTTACATTTCATGCCCCAGATCAACTATTTGCACGGAAGCATGAGTTTTGTTCTGGCTCAAAACCAATGTACTGTTAAGTCACAGGCTATACAGACGACACCTTGCATCCTGTAAGACACAGAATGGATACTCTTTATTGTGTTTCCCATATGTTTTTTATATCTTTATGAAAGTTGGTGGTAAGTAAAAAGATGGTGTTTTCAGAAATAATGAGCAGCAGCTCAATTTATACACACTGGTTGTCTACCATGACTTTTCAAAAATAAATAGAAACACAAACTCAATCAGTGTCTGCTGGGAAGAACTCCTCATTTGCTTCTGAAAACTTGCCAGTACAGACATGGCAGCACCCAGCAGCATTAATTGTTGGCAGAAACCCATAATCCATCTGGAGGCTAACGCCCCATGTGCACGAGATCTTCCTGGCCTAGGGCAAGGCTAACCATTTACATTCAAACTGCCAAGCAAAGTTCTGGACAAACAAGTTTCTCAACATCTTTCATCCCCAGCATACAGTGTTTAAGATTCACGTGTTTCTTTGATAAGATACGTGAAAGAAAAAAAATAATGCTTGGAATTCTTCTCTTTTAGACTCTCTGTACCGTGACCGAATACAGCCCCATGTATTTGAGTCTCCGCTCTTTCAGGGGCAAATCCTGAATTTTCAGGTTCCATAGAGTACAAGCCACATGGTACAGAAGGATTAGCTCTGTCTATGCATATGTAGATGGAGGGGGTCCTACCACAATTGCTAACGAAATGAGGACCCTCCCAGATGTTCCAGAAATACGGTCCCGTTAGAAGAGATTCAATGTCTTGCAGGGGCCCATTTCACACTTACTCTGAACGGCACTGAGGGTAGCAGCTGGCTTTAAGGCCCTGTTGACCGGAGGAGAGTGGCTGGCGTAATTGGTGGCATCGCTTTTATTGGGTTGGTCGGCAAATACGTTCAGCAGGGAATTGTTCTGGTGTTTGGGAAAGCAGGACAAGGTGCTGCCATCAATCTGCTCCGACAGCGCTGGGGTTTCCTGGCTTCGCATCTGACCTCGGGCTAATTCTTGCTTCTTGAGTTGATCTTCGAAAAACAGAAACTGCTCCGTTTCCAGCTGCTGCTGGCGCATCTGAGCGATCCGCTTCCTTTCGGCCTCTATCAATCGCTGATGTTCCAGTTTTTTGAGATATTCGGCTCTATATTTGTTCTAAAAAAACAGGTGGTTGCCAGAGCAAAAGGTTAGTTTCCAAGGCAAGAACATCACCCTGGGATTAGACATTCAATCTTCCAGCAGACAGAGACGCCGCGAGATACTGCCATCTGCCCGTAGGGACACTCGTGTGACAGTGAGGAGAATATATAACGTCCTAGCCAAAGCCCCTTAACCTGATTTGGGCAGCAGTTCTAAATCCACTCATATATTTTACCAGAGACAGGCCATGACAGTCAACTTCCCTCCATTCCCCTGCGCTTTTAAATATTAGAGAGTCAAGGTCAGGATGCTTTGCTCAGCTGCCTTATAAAACCCTGAGGGACAAAGTATCTCAGAAGTGGTTATATCACCCCAGACTGCAGTGGCTAATATAGGAACCACTAGCCATAGGTGGCTATTTCAATTTAAATATATTAAAATGAAATGAAATTGGAAATGCAATTCCTCAGTCCTGCTAGGAATTGAGTACCATGTGGCTAGTGTCTCCCCTGCCAGCGAGTTCCACAGAGCACTCCCATCACCGCAGGCCGTGCTGTGGGGCAGGCTGCCCTAGAACCCTTTGCACGTGACTCCAGGACTCACACTGCTGGAACTTTACAGAGAAGGGGGATCAATAAGAAACGGTTCTCAAAATGTGGTCCAATCATCTCTAGTACAACAAACCTGCACTTTTGTTTAAAATGAAGATTTCCAAGTTCCCGTCTTATCAAAAATATCCAGGTACTCGTAGGTAAGAATATAATTTTTAAGAAGCAGTTCCCCCAAATAATTGTGGAAATAGACTTTGGGAGCTACTGTAAGGTAGTTGGGTGGGGGGAGGGCACAGCTTACAGCCCCACATAGAAACCATATCCTTGTTATGGGGCAGATTTGGATTCAGCAGGCTTGGGTGGGGCTGAAGATTCTGCATTTCTGACTGCTCCTAGGTAATACTGGTGCTGCCTGCAGCCAGGGCTCACCGGTGAGTCTGTTCATCTCTCCTAGGCATAAAGGAGATTTCTCCATGTCATACACGTGGGATGCTGCTACTGTGGACTGTGAAGTCAGACCGTGCAACAGCTGCTGAGGCTGTTTCTCCCAAGGAAATCTGGAGGGGACAACTAGACGCATTGCTGACTATGGAAGGGAGACTGAACTGGGCTTTTTTCTCTTTGCTGTTGCTTTGTCTGAGCCTCCAGAATCCATGTTATCTTTCATAGTTCAAATCCAATCAAGTCATCAATATCCACACCTGCAGGAATCTTCTGATTTCAACATTTTCTCTGTCACTTAGTCAAAAACATCACTCAAGCCCTAATAGGTGTGGCTCAGTGGACAGAGCGTCGGCCTGCAGACTGAAGGGTCCCAGGTTCGATTCCGGTCAAGGGCATATACCTTGGTTGCAGGCAAATCCCCAGTAGGAGGTGTGCAGGAGGCAGCTGATCAATGTTTCTCTCTCATCGATGTTTCTAACTATCTCTCTCCCTTCCTCTCTGTAAAAAATCAATAAAATATATTTTTTAAAAAACACACATTACTCAAACCTCACCTCTGGCTATGCTCAAAGAACGTAGGGAAGTTCTGTGACCGTGTTCAGACTAACTGAAGTGAGAGTCAGCAAAGATGACGCCCAGAGCACATAAATACATGAACAGAAAAGGCAAAACAATCTTTATAAGAAAGCTGAAAACATCAAGAATTCATGTTTTCAACTTGAGTCTCCTATAAACTGGCCAATGTCTTCTTTCAAAGCCTTTCAGTCTCATTATCATTTTCACTCTTTATTTAATAAGAACCCAGATGCCATCACCCCTTGGTGATATGATTATATTTCACTCATACAATTATAATTCTACCTCAGTGAAGGGCTGCAATATATAAGAATCCAATTCACATTTCCAAGGTCTACAAATTAGACACATCAGAAACTATATACTTGCTTTCCCTAGCACCTATTACCTCCATTCATCATCAAACAGCAGTCAGCTGGCTCAAGGTTACATTGGCAAGAGTTGATCAAAAAGCTCTTTTAAAATCTCTGTAGGAAATCTATTTTCTAATGCATCACTTTATTAGATGTTGGAGGGAAATGAAAATACCACATCTTTGGTGCAAGTGCTTAACCCGGAAATCAACATGAATTTTTTATTGGTGTTACATCACTACATCTTTAATTTTTAATCAAATGCATATGACATTTAAAAACTAATATAAAATTGAAATTAAAAATATATTTGCACAGAAAAGGCATGAAATGCAAGTACCAATTTATTGGACTTACTTTGCTTTGCATATGGTCTTGGTATTCTATGTTATATTTCTTTAAAAGGTCCTTTTTCAGTTCATCTGTCCTTGGAAATGCAATCTCCTTCAGTTTCTTTAAAAAAATATATATATATATATTGATTAGTGGGGTTTTCAGTATAGTCTTTCAGATCATCAACTGAGAAAGAAAAACAGCTGGAATGTGAATTAGAAATCAAAACACAAGTAACCAAAAATGGTGGTGGAAAATAAATCCCTTTTCTAGGCTCCAAAATGTAACTTCTCAGTAGGGGAGGGGAGAAATGATCCCCTCTGCAGTGCTTATCTGCATTTTGTTTGGATAGAGACCCCATTTTGAGGCAGTGGGTTTGCAACTTCACATTCCACAGTATGTAAAGATATGTAATCATACTCAAAAGGTACACTGAAGAACATGGTAGATAAGTGCTCCTAGGTTTGACAGACTATAAAATGCACTGAGGAACTCTCCATAAAAATTCAGATTCCCAGGTCTAAACCCAGATTTACCGAAGCCACATCTTTATTGGAAAGGAAAGGGTTGGGGAATCTGGATCTCAAACAACTTCCCAGTGACTCTAAACGGCTGAGAAACCTGCATAGTCCAAGCACAATCCCCCACCCCTCTCTTTAGAGATAAGGAAACAAAAGCCTAGAGAAATTAAAAGGCTTGTCCCCTATGACTAGAATTAGGACTCCAGGCTCTCCCACTAAACTTCTGTTCTCATAATCTTTTGCCATCCATCCATCCATCCATCCATCCATCCATCCATCCATCCATCCGGCATAAAGACATGCTTTTGAAGAATTTTGCCTACAAGCAAAAACAAGAATAACCCCAAATTAGAGTAAATGAGTCACATTGGCAGCCTGGGAACTTGGTTTCCAAATAGAACCCTCTGAGGTTGAATGAACAACAGAATTGAGGGCAAATGTTACACAATGGCATGGAAATGAATGACCCTTCAGATAAGTATGCAAAGACAAATTTTAAAATAGTGATGACCATTTGACAAAATTTGGGTTCTGCTTACAGGCAGCCTCAGGCTCTATGTAACTGGTAAGAGAGCCTTTATTCCACTATCTGGTAAAATACCTTTGGAGAGTTATTTCACATTTCATGCTGTGATTGGCTTTGTCTACATTGTTTATCTTCCTTCATATAAAAGCAACCCAAACTGTTTAAGACTAATACATGAAAAAGGTATTTTAAATGTCACTTTAAAAAGATTCATTCTCAGGTAAAGATATTTGAAACTATGTATGTTATAAATGTTGATGAGGAATAAATACATTTCAACAATGTGCCTTTTCCTTGAGAATATATCAGGCTACCCCCTAAACCCTTTATTACCTATTAGGCTAGCACCTTAAGACTCAATGCTTTTCAAAGTTTGGGGGTGCAGGACTGCATGGAATAATTACACCCAGCCGGACTGTCTCAAGTATAGAGAAATAGATAGCCATTCTGTCAATCTCTGGGAGAAACAGTGAAATAATTTCTTCTTCACGCCATAAAGTGCTTGAGCACATTCTTGATCTCTTTTCTTCTCCTTCCCTCCACTTCAGTTTCAATTAGACACCCCACACAGGCTCAGAAATGATGATTAAAGGTCAAAGAAGAAATCGAAACATCATAGCTAATGGAATGAATCTTGGTGCTTAAACTCTCAAGAGGATGAGTCAGAGGAGGAAAGGAAGGGGGTGTGAACCAGTAATGGATACTTGAGGGACATTTGATGCCGCAGGGGAGAATCGACCCCACCATACCTTCATAATGTCCTGCTTTTCGGGGACTGCACATTGCTGGTAATCTCGATGGCTGGGAAGCTTTTCTACGAACAAGCTAGAGAAGGAGAAAGCACGTCTCAGCATTATCTGACAGAAAAAAGATCAATGATCATTTTACTATGAGAAAGAGCCTCCCTTTCAAAAAGGACATGCTAACTAAAGTATTATTTAACCTATATTCATTTCACCTGCCTAATGGCACTGAGTATGATTTTGGCTTCACGGGAGTGTTAAGTTCAGTAAACTAAGCCCTGAGGTTAAGAGGGTCAGTATGATTCCTAAATAGACTGGGCCACTTGGTCTTTCTCAGGGTTCTGGCTACTTAATCCCACCACAGCACCATCATACTTACGTGTGAAGCTGTCAACACAGAGTATCACGTAAAAATGTAGGAGTTTGGAAAGATCGATGTAATCCCTTCTCATGATTGAAAAAGACTCAAAAGACCACTGGTGATTCCGGAGTGTCATGGTGGATATATCAAAAACTCTTAACTGAAAATTTGTAACCAAGAGAAATAACAGCTAGAATCCCTAGTGGATAAGGTGCTATTTAGGAGGTAATTATTTTTCTTGTTCCTTTTTGAGGAGGAACCAGGGACAGCAGAAGTAAAGGCAAATCCTTAAAGCCAACCAGGTACATCACTTCCAGATACAGTAAACTACAAGTAATGCTTCCACGAGATAGTGTTTCCATTGGATTTTCTTACTGATGTGTCCTCAGCCTGGACAATAGTGTACAGCTCATAATAAGTGCTCAATAAATATTTGTTAAATGAATGAATAACCCTTCATTGATTGTGATGGGCTATAGATACTATTTTTGATCAGCTAATATGATTACTTATATTCTGTTGTTTACAAAGCACGCATGCAATCGTCATTTCACCTACAGGGTAACTGGAATGGTATCATAACTCTCATTTCTCAAATGAGAAAATTAAGGCTTTAAGAAGCAACATAAATTGTTAGTTGCCTAGGTCTTTTTAAATAGAATAAAGTCACAAACATTTAGAGTTGAAGAGACCTCAGAGACATTCATCCTCAAGTCATTTGTAGATAAGGAATTGAGGCCCAGGGAAGGTAAGTGAACTACAAAGCACCACATGCGTAATGACCGAGGAGGATTAATATATTCTGATTAGTCAGTAACTGAGAGTATAGTGGCCTTTCCCTTTCCCACACTTTCAATTCCATAGAAATGTGTGCAAAATTTGAACAGAAAGTGAAAAAGAAATATTACCAATTGGTAACCTGTACTAGTTAGGAAATTAACATTTTTTGGGAAAATGTGCTATCAGTGACAATTGATAACCTCCAATTTAATATTTATTGTTTAACTTTCTAGAAACAATTGTGCCAAGTGGACCAAAGGTTGCCAGTCATCGACTTCTCAAATGTTCTCAGGTTAAGTCCCCCAACTGAACTAGTGAAATTAATCAACAAGTGACATTTAATTAAAACAAAAGTAAGGGTTTCAGCTTAAATAATTATTGCTAACAGATCTTCCCAACCTGTAAACTGGCAAATTGGTAAAGAAAATCCAAATCCCATTTCTGTTAAGTCTTAAACTAGGATATGTTATTAACAATATCTATCTAATGAGAAGTATGAATATTTTCACCTGGCTGTTTTGAGATAGCCACTGTCCCTCAACATTTTGGAAATTCCTTTATACTTAGCTTATTACACAGCTAAATAGATTGTATGTGTTGGTTGTTTTTTTTTTTTTTTTTAATAACTGCAATGTTAAACTGACTGTTACAGTTTATCCTGGAATCATATCCTTCTACCATTGCTAACTCATCCCCCGGACTCAACCCATCAAATCAAATTTTTAAAATGTGAATGGCATGTTCCAGATGCTGTAGCGAGGGCTGCACTATGGCTCCTGCTCTCATAAAGCTTGCAGTCCTGCAGGGGTAAAATGGCATGAAACAAGACATTTTGCTTGAGAAGAGTGTTAAAGACAGAGACATGCAGGTTACCATGCTGGCCTAGTGACAGGAAATCTCATAGTCCTCATCACTTCCCTGACCTTCTCCCCAGCCCCACGCCTCGGACGTGATACGAGATGCCTCTGAGGACATTTACTTGGTCATTTTAAAACCTACACATTTAATGTTTTTGGAGACTGTAAAATTGGTCTGAACACGAAAACATCCCCGGCATCCAAACCGTCTCACCAAAATATCACGTCGATATATTTCCAATTCTCTCACTTCAAAGACTTACGTGATAAACTTATTATACAGAACGAAGGCATTTTCCAAGTTTCCTTCTTCCAGGTACACCGAGGCCATCCTCTCCATCTCCACTCCGGACCGGAAGTAGCGGCGCGGGGTGATGTCCTCGCTGATGGTGATGTTACAGCCAAGCTTGCTGAGGGCTCGGACCCGCTCCTCCGGGCTCAGGGACACGTCGGTGTGGTCGGGCATAGCAGCTAACTTTTTCTGCAAAGCAAAGTTTGAACCTCTGATTATAAGAAGAAATGGATCTGACTGAAACAATGGACGTATTTTCTGTACTAAATACCTGGCGCCAATATCTAAGGAAAGCTTTTCATAAGACTTAATAAGATGATGAAAGCAACGTCTTTTTGCTTCGCCATGTGATCTACACACCAAAAAAGACATCTCCAAGGATGAATATACTTTTTTTTTTTTTTTGAGGGAAGATCTTTTTTAGGTTTTAGAGTACAATTATGTGGCAGTTCCTGGTATGCAAATGTCGAAAGTCATTTTAAGTAAAATATCATTGATTCTTTTTCTTCATGGGTGTTTCCATCCTGGGCCACGGGAAGCAGACCAAGAAAAGGGTTCCTGCCAGGGTAGGGCTCGTGTCCTTCTACTCCGAAGGGTCTCCAAGATGCAGCGTGGCTTCAAGGTTGCTATGAGGACTCAGCTCTGTCCCAGACTATATCTAGTTTAATAAGGAGAGTCCTGGGCCTCCCTTTTTTTAACATTGAAAAGACTCTCAGACCTCCACATACTAGTAATTACACTAAGTCGTCCCTGACTGCAAAAGTAATAAAAAATGACTAATAAAAAGTTAGTGATATGAATATATTTGCATTTTAAAAAACAGCATCCGTACACATTTGGAAAAACACAACATATACACATTCAAGATAATAATTCAATTATTCGGGAGAAAGTGCTTCAGAAAGGCGAAAAAGTCAGCAAGTTTTTGTTTGTTTTCTGTTAAAGGCCATACAACACATATTTTAGGCTTTGCGGGCCACACTGTCTCCACCTCAGCCATTCAGCTGTGCTGGTGTGAAAGCAGCCACACGCCACAGTATTTAACAAAACAATCCTGGCTGTGTTCCAAATTTTTATTGACAAAAACAAGCAGATGAATTGGACCCTCAGACCACAGTTTGCTGACCCCTGCTTTAGGCCAGTGCTTCCCTGTACCAGCAGCATCGGCATCCACTAGGCTTCTCAAAAATGCAAATTCCTAACCAGCCCCACCTCATTTCCATAGACTCAAAGTCTCTGGAGATTGGCTTGAAGTTGTAACCAGTTTCTCAGAGGCCCTGATGCATGTTACAGTTTGAGGCGCACTGCTTTAGACCCCTCTATCCTCTTTTGATGCCCCAAGAATGGAGTTAGCCCAGAACAAATTTAGCTTCCCAAGTCTCTCTCAGGTTGTCAGAGGGTAGGTTACAAGTCTCACTACGGTGTGGGCATAGCATTTGATTAAGATCTGTAGAAAATTTAAAAAGAATCAAGGTAGACATAGTTTTAGTCTGGCCATGAATTACTGATCTAGTCTTTAGGGGCCAGGTGCAGTGAATTAGATGCCTTGAGTTTTTCCAAAGCCATCTGGTCTACCTGGGTGGTAATTTTATAGCAGATAGAATCCTAGAGACCTGGAATGACTCTTGCTTCTAGAGGTTTAATATATAACCAGAGAGCCATACATAACTGGGTTTCTCAGGGCCACATGAAGTCCAAAGCAGGCTATGCCTCTTGCACCTTCTATCACTCTTTGACTCGGCCTATAGGTGGGTGCATTTCCTCCTCCCTGTTTCTTTCTCCCCAAGGATGCTCTCAGGGCCTGGGCTTCCCACCCTGGAGGCCTCCAGCTATCCCTCCTGTGACTGGGTGGGGAAGCCAATTCAATTTAGAGCAGAAGGGAAAAGGAGACATATCAGTCTCCCAGATCAGTCTTGAGTGTGAATATAGGCACATTATATAACCTCCATGGCCTTCTTTTGTACTCTGTGCCTTATGACAATTGGAAACAATATTTTTAATGTTCCTTAACTCCTCATAAGTTGGACCCATTGTATGTAGAGGGTATGCAATATATTGCTGCTCTCAGGGTTACCCACAGGGCTGCAGTGAGTGGGCTGGGGAGGGTCATCAGGAGGAGGGTAGGTAATGATAACTTCCACTTATCAAGCCCCTACGATAGGCTGGGAAGATTAAAAATATTGTTTCCAATTGTCATAAGGCACAGAGTACAAAAACAGAGCCATGGGGATTATATAATGTGCCTATATTCACACTCGAAGGCTGATCTGGGACACAGAATAAGCCCATGTGACCTCAAGGCCCCTGTTATTTCCTCTCCTGCACACGCTTCCTTTAAGATGTAACTAGAGAAAATGTGCAGGGTGTTGGGCTGAAAGTGGAAAAGTAAGAAAAACAAGAGTTTCAAGAATGCAAACATTTACACAAGATCCCAAAGCAACACGTAGGTGTTAACCATAAAATGTTTTCCTCGGTCATTACCACACAAGGCAAGCCTCCACCTTTTATCTGCAAAACTGAGGCCCAAATGAAGTGATAGATGGACCTGCTGCAAAGTCAGCTTTGAAATGCTTCTCAAATAGTGTGTTCTGCTAAAGGACTATACTTCTGGACTCTAACCGGACAAAGCAACACTTTACAATCATGTGGAAAAAATTATTTTTAATTCTAGCAAAGATGGCTTTATTAGTCACTTCCTCAAAGGAGGGGGCCACGCAGATGGATGATAAATGACAAGTGCTAAACTACTTGAAGTAACTGTGATTCGTTTCACATTTGGTTTGTTTCCGTTCCCCTTTTTGGGTTTTCCAACCATATGTAAAATATCAGGTGGTGCTACCTACCAGAGAATTCACAGTAAATTCACAGTCCATGGTGCCCTGTCTCCAAAATGAGGGTGTTCAGTGTTTCTTCTCGATCACTTCATCTGTCTCAAAAACAAAAAAGCAGAGCTTAGATTCTTTTTTAAAATAATCTTATTTTATTATTTATTTTTAATTTTACATTTTTATTGATTTCAGAGAGGAAAGGAGAGGGAGAGAGAGATAGAAACATCAATGATGAGAGAGAATCATCATTGGGGATCGAGCCTGAAACCCTGGCATATGCCCTGACAGGGAATCGAACCATGATCTCCTGGTTCATAGGTCGAGCTCAACCACTGAGCCATCCTGGCCGGGTTCGGGTTATTTTTTTTAAGGACTCCTGCCTCAAATCTAAAACTTGAGGGTTATGTCTGCCTCAGAAGAATATGAACAAATTGAAGTAACTTTAATAATCTCAGTTTTTTAGAGCGACCCACCGACCGTTGGAAATAACTTCCTGAAAATACAAAACTGCAGGTGGTTATGGTTTCTTGAAAGTGGAGGTGTGAAGAAAATTAATTATTGCCTACCACCCAGATGAATCTGCTGGGCATTATCTTTCTCTGAATTCTGTGCCAGGTTATTAAGTGGGTTTACTTTCTTCAAAGTGAGAACGATCATAGTGGTTAAGAGCATGAACTCAGGGGCCATGGACTCGTAGTTTAAGTCAGTCTGGGCTTAAACTAAGCCCTACCAGCTATGGAAGTAGAATTCTAAGATGACTCTGTGATTCCTGCCCCTTGTACCCACGGGTCAACTCCCATCCCCTTGAGTGTGGACAAGACCTGGAACTGGCATCTAATCAATAGAACATAGCAAAGGTGATGGGATAGTCCTCTCATGTTTATATATGTTGTAGGGCAAAGATGAAGAGATTTTGCAAATATATTAAGGCCCCTAAACATTTGATGTTACGTTAACCAAAGGGAATATTCTCCTGGGTGGGCCAGACGTGATCAGGTGAGACCTTTTGTACTGGGCTGCATATCTGGCACTTCAGCCAGACGGGGCGCGCTGTGCTGTCTGTTCCTGGAACACATAGATAGGAAGGTGATAATGCTATACTGTGCTGGGAACTAATTGCATAAACAAGGCTTTGTAACTTTGTGGGTTTTGCAGATAAAACGCTGTAACTTTTGCAGTCTGTACTGCAGTTCAGCCTATGCTTCGGCAGAGTGCTGTGACTGTGGTCAGCTGGCCAGCTTAATAAAGGCTCTTAAATTTAAATTCTGAGTCGGTGGTCTATCTCGCTGAGCCAACCCATAACACTTTCAAAGAGGGAAACACTCTCCTGCTGGCCTTGAAGACTCAGCCACCATGAGTCCCACAGCTGCAGGGAAATGAATTCCGCCTATAACCTCTTGGATTTAAAAAAGACTCAGATGAGGCCCTTACTCTGCTGGACACCTCCATCGCTGCCTTGTGAGACCACAAGCTGAAGTCTTAGCTATCCCTAGACTCCTGACCCACAAAACTCTGAGATAATAAAGTGATGAAGCTGGTGGTGATTTGTAAAGCAGCAATAGAAAACAAAGATACTAATTGTGTGACTGCAGGTAAGTTAAATACCCTTTCTGTTCATCTGAAAAATGGGGTAAACAATAGTACCTCTGTCATGCAGTTGTGATGAGGATTAAATGAATTAACATATAAAGTGTTTAGAATAGTCCTTAGCACACAGCCAATATCCTATAAATCTTAACTATTAATAGAATCTTTATTTTGTAGTTGAGGCAACTGAGGCTCATAGATGTTAAGTGAATATGCCCAAGTTCAAAAAATCACTCAAATGTGAGCCTCCTCCTTCTTTATGGTAGTTTAGATCAAGCTTTGCATCACCACTTCCTACTTCTTCTAAAAGTATTTGGGCCTGTCTATGCCACTAGTCACTGATGTGATGATGGACACAGACCTCCTCGTCAGTTCCTCATTTATGAAATTAGAGGGTTAAGCCACATTCTTTCAAGTTATAACATTCTGTAATTCTAGAAATCTCAGAAGTAGATCATTCAACCCATCTGTTATTTTTTGGCCTACATCCATGGCTGAAAAACCTTTCAAGGAAAGTCACACGGCATATTCTAGACTTTTCCCTTCCTTCTCTCCAGTGATCCCTGGAGATCCAAGCTTGCAGGTTGCAGAAATGCACCAGAAAGAGATAACCTGGAGAGAGAGTCATGGTCACAGTGTAGTTTAAAACCCAAATTAATTCAGGCACCATTGAATGTAGGCAATCCCATTTGGGGAATTACCACCTCTCAGTGAGAAGAAATAAACCATGAAAAAAAAAAAAAGACATTACAAGTATTAAAGAGACAGAACAAAGAGGCTTTTGGGGAATTTGGAGATGGGTGGGAAGAGAATGGAACAAGGAAATACTAGTCATTGATTAGGGTCTTGCAAAACCTTCTGGGGTTACTCAGATCTTTAAACAGAAAAAAAATCATTTAAGAAGTTGGAAACATAAGAACCAGTGATTCTTAAATTTTACTTTATCTAAAAATTACATAAACCTGGGTCTTGTTTTAATTTTGTTTTTCCTTTTAAAATCTTTATTGTAGAAAATATTACATATGTCTTCCCTTTTCCCCATTGTAAACCTAGGACTTTTTACAAATGCAGTCTCCTGGAACTCCCCCACAAGGTTCTGAACCCATCAGTTTTAAGCCCACCAATAGGCACTACATGTTAGGATGTGGCCCAGGTGGTTTTGACACAGGAGGTTTCCAAACAATACTTCCAGAGACACTGCATTTGAGAATGTATCAAGCAGGATTCTTGTAAGTAAAAGCACTGATTCCTGAATTCAGAGGATAATGGAAAGATCACAAATTTCCAGGAAGAAGATTGTAGGTTACTGTAATTGGAAAATAAAAAATTATTTCTAAAAAAAAATTTCCAGGAAGACCAGAGAAACCAAGCTTGGAGGCTACATATCCAGGAAGATCACCCCACATCACACAGCAACACCTGTCTGACAGGTTGGGGAGCCTGCAGCTTCCACCAGCAACACCCGCTGCTGCCCCGGGAAACATGGGGAGCTGCCTCCATTTCTTCATGTCACGTTTCTGTTCCAAAGTTTGAGAGGAGGTCCCTGATTGGCCTAGGTCACATGCCTGCAGCCTGGCTGCAAGGGTGGCTGAAAATGCAAATACACAGCTCTTCACACTTCCATTGTAGGCAGTGGGATGTGCAAGGGAGAAAAGACAGCTTCAGGGCTAAGTGACCCAAAACAATGGTAAGTATGCACAAAAATCAAACACACTTCTCTGTAATGACCTTTTCAATGTATGAAATGTTTAATTCAATATATCTTAAACACCATTAACTCCCACACATAAACTTATGTACAACTCAGAAATAGAAAGAGACCCAACTCCTCTCAAATCTAAGATGAAACAAGTTTGTAGATTGGTTGGTCAACTTACTATTATTCACCATTAACTACTCCATGGCACTGATCCTGCCTTAATTCCTTTACTTTTTTTTTTAACTCCATTCCTAGCACTTATCAGTTGTAATATGTTACAGTTACTAAAATCAACATAAACAGGTTCTCTTGATCAGTGGCTGTTAAAATGTAGAAAAGGTCCCCAAGATCCTATTCAAGGGTATATGTATGGTCAATATCCTATATAATAAAAGCCTAGTATACAAATCGACCAAACAGTAGAACGACAGGTCGCTATGATGTACACTGACACAGGGGCCAGATGCTCAAAATAGGAGCTGCACCAGGCCAGCCAAGGTGGGTGTCAGCAGGCCCCCTCCGTCCCAAATGCCCCACTGGTGGTAGCAGTGTGGGCTGGTGAGCAGGCGGCACCAGGCCAGCCAAGGCAGGAGCGAGCGGGGGGGCCCCCAATGACCCTGCTGGTCACCCCACAGATTGGCCCTGATCGCCAACCAGGCCTAGGGACCCTACTAATGCACGAATTTCATGCACCGGCCCTATAGTTATTTTCATAATATTACTGAAACATTACTTGCTTTTTATCATCAACCTCTAACAATTGTATAGTGGGATTTCCAGAGGTTCAAGTTCATGCAATGCTTACTTGAATATGCCTATAAATGTCTGTTTTAATATGGCAAATAGAAATAGAAATAGATGTAACCCACACACAGCTTTTTAGTGTCCTTAGTAATTTTTAAGAGGGCAAAGAGGTCCCAATATCAAAACTGCTGCTCTACATCAACTATGCACACAAACACACAAAGCAAAACAAAACAGAGCCCCTGGCCTTCAATCTAACCAGACACATAGAAGAATCTAAAAGAGGGAAAAATGAGTGTCAAGTGTCACCTTCCATTTGTGCTACTGAGATCTGCTAAAATAATTAGAAAACTGAGCGTACAGTAAGAGATACCTTACCTCATACAACCTGAGGCCCATGGGAGCAAATGCAGCCCACTGCTGCCTGTTCTGCAATACCCATTCTCTTTTTCTAATATAAAAATATAATTTTTAGCTGCTACAAAGCCACCCAGGTAAAACCGACAATTTCCAGCCTTTCTTGGAGTTAGGTCAGCCTAGTTCGGGCCAATGGGGTGTGAATAGAAGTCTGGATCCTACCCTTTAAAGGAAGGGACATGGCCTCTCCATCGCCCTTGGCCTTCCTGCCTGCCGGCTGGAATACTGCCACACAGGTGAGCCATCCTCAGTCACCAGGAGGAGTCACGGCAAAGCAAGAAGAGAAGAGGAGTGGTCTAGTTTGCTTGCACGCAGACCATGATGACAGAGACCAATTTCCATCCTGTCTAGTACTTTGTCTTTGTTTAGGCAGCTGTATCCTGACACAGGCACTAAGTTTAACCTAGAAAGGATGATTCAGTGTAGCCCAGGGAGACTATTGCCAATACTGATAATGAAATATACCCCTTCCCTCATCCCTCCCGCCTCGGCACTATGACTGTCCCGCCTCCCTCCACACCTTTGGCCCAGGTACAGGGAGAAGCAGAAATATCCTCACTTCCTCCTTTCCTCCCACAGCGCATCTGAGACCTGCCCAGCCTGGGAGATCCCACTTATCCATCCAGAAGTTGCACTTCTTTAGAATCAGTATCACATAATCCCTCAAACATAACAGATGTAAGCTACAGTCCCAAAGGCAATATTTGGGCATCATAAATGTTTAATTTAGCTGTTACAGTAAACTTAGATTTTTAGTTAGTTATTAAAATTTAAAAATTGGGAAATTCATACAAAAATTCAGATTTCAGCTTCTCTTTAAAAAAAGTGATATATATATATATATATATATATATATATATATATATATATATCTCAGAGGATCTGGCACCACTGTGCCTAGTACCTGGAACATTTCATTGTTATTATTTATCTTCTATCCTGCATTTAGAACAGTGCCTGCTACTTAATAAGGGGTCAATATACATTCGTTAAATTAATGAATGAAGAAGCAATTTCCTTAAAGTCCACAGTATACTTCCCATCACATTCCCAGGCATGTAATACAAGTTTAGTAAATATTTTGCCCTAGATCCATGCTAAAATATGCCCTCCCCCCACAAATGCACCAGCCTTTAAAAACTTATAGGTAGCTCACTTAATTCTCTCAATACAGGTTGATTCGTTGTTTTCAATCATATATTCATTCAACAAACATTCATTGTCCAGATGTGCCAGGCATTGTTCTAGGTATGTGGAGCATGGATAAAGTTTGCAAAGATTTCTGCCCTTGTGGAGTCTACATTCTGGTCAGGAGAGACAGGTTAACAATAAACATTTTGAATAAATAAATTACATAGTAAGTTAGAAGGTAATATGTCCTCTTGAAAAAAGAGTAGAGACGAGAATGGTGGGAAAAGAAATCAGAGAGGCAAGGAAAGTAAGGAGGCCTTACAGATCAACATTCGGACTTTCACTGTACCTGGAGTGAAATGGGAAGCCATAGGGTATTGAGCAAAGGTGTGATGTAAATGACATTATTGTTTTCAAAGAGACCTGTGGGTGTGCTGGTGAGAATAGACTATGGGGACAAGGGAGGAAGCAGGATGTCAGTGGGGAGAGGTGACAGTGTCTTGGGTGGGACGGAGAGGTGGACAGCAGTGGATCAAGCCGGATGCTGGCAGAGCTGACTTCTCTAGCTCCTCACACTTCAGCAGCTATGGTGTAATAAACTTCAGGTGTAAGGGAGAAACAAGACACCCAGAGAATACCAAAGGCAGGAGGAAAACACTCAACATCAGGCAGGAATAAAACATGAATTCTCTTTTCTCAGTGGTGGATTGACATGCGCTGGGGCACAGAGCACAAAGGCAGCGTAGCGAGTCAGCCTGGGTGTGAACGTGGGCCCTGTATCTACTTGCTAGTCATCCTTCCTAGACCCTCCCAGCTCACTTTCCTCATCCCCATGCGGGCTCATCACACCTGCTTCATCACTCCAGCGTGGCTTATGCAAATAGAAAACATTCATCAGGAATGCTTGATTGAATGTCGACCTGCTCCCCACTCTCCACCCTAGTACAGCCCACATTCCTGATGTGATAACATCTGAACTACAGCCTGGGACACATTTAACCTGTCATGTACCCCTTGAGAGTTAAGTTCCTTTGCTTTAGAGCTTCCTATCTTCTCTAGCCTCTTTGCCTCACTGTATAGCCTCTGAAGACACAACCATTTTCCTCTTTAACTATCCTTCTAAAGAGGAGTAGGGAAGCCCTAGGTCAGGGGTCCTCAAACTACGGCCCGCGGGCCACATGCAAATACAAATATTGTATTTGTTCCCGTTTTGTTTTTTTACTTCAAAATAAGAGATGTGCAGTGTGCATAGGAATTTGTTCATAGTTTTTTTTTAAACTATAGTCCGGCCCTCCAACGGTCTGAGGGACAGTGAACTGGCCCCCTGTTTAAAAAGTTTGAGGACCCCTGCCCTAGCTGGTTTGGCTCAGTGGACTGAAAGGTCCCAGGTTCAATTCCTGGTCAAGGGCACGTGCCCGGATTTCAGAATCGAACCCCAGTTGGGGGCATGCAGGAAGCAGCCGATCAATGATTCTCTCTCTCTCCCTCTACCTTCCTGTCTGAAATCAATAAATATATATTTTTTAAAAAATTAAAAAGAATAGTAGGGGAGTGTCTGCTTCCTGTTAATCCTGACATACAAGGCCTTGGGGAACCAGGCCCAGAGGAATTATTCAAACCATATATTCACAGTGAACACACAAAGAACAACCCTTCTATGTCCCATGGATTCAGCTAACAAGTAGCTCCTGGAACCAACTAAGCAGTCCCCCAAGGGGCCCAGAGAGCATGTGGCAAAAGTGAGTGTGGTCCGTGAGTGGCCTGCGAGGGGCAGGAGCCCCCTCCAAGTGCCATTTCACAGCTCTGAGCTCACGGCAGTTTACTCTCCCTGCGCCCTCACAGTGGCACAGCCCAGCAGCAGCACCCTTGATGCAGGGCCCCAGTTTGATGTCTCCATGTCCCAACTTCCCCGCAGGAAATGTGGAAGCAGCTCGGCAGCCCAGCCTCTAAAAACCAGCAGCAAATAAGGCCAGGACAGAACAGCGAGAAAAATATCTGGCCTCGCCCAGTGTGTATGGTGTGACCTTTTTAGCTTCGATTCCGTTAACTTTCCTTTTCTTCCTTTCTTTTTAAATACCTTTTTGGTGGTTAAACTCAGAATCCTGACCCACTTTCACACCCAAAGCCACACTTCCCGAATACAGAGAAGAGACTTGCAGGCAGGGCACAACCTCCCTAGAGGCTGAGCACCAGAGGAGAGCCAGCGAGACTTCGCCCAAACGCCTCACCTTCTCCCTGGCACCCTGTCAACCTGAAGGCTGTGGTGAACTGGATCAGCAGGTGAGAGAGGCCAAACACCTCATGCCACCCCCTGGAGTCTCATTTCTAATTGGCCAACCAGCAGCCTTCCTTTACCCCACTGGGTCAGAGTTCGTGCTTACCTGGTGCCATGTACCGAGCTGGAAATAAACAAAGGAAGTTGTCATAACGTAGACTGTGGGCTGCAGGGATCTAACCTGATTTGGATAAAGGGAGGTAAACTGTCATTCTCCCACTTTAAATGACACAGGCAGAAAGGGGGATCTCCCGAGTCATGCTCTGGCCGATGGGGACCTGCTTTAGGGAAAAAAATGACCTGGGCTGTTCATCGTGAAAGATTTAAACACCCAGTTAGTACATCAACAGTCACTTTGATGTTTTTATACTCAATGCCATTCTATTTTCTTAATGAGATGATTTAATTAATATGTGTAAGAAAACACTGGAAAATAAATTTTAGGTGTAAGGGAGAAATTCAGATTTGTACACACTTATTTTGCCATCATAAATCCATTGGAGCATGTTCACTTTGTTATCCTGTTGTTGAAATACTAAAATTTCCTGGAAATTATGTATTCTAAAGAAAAGCCACCCATAAGCCACTAAAATTCTAACGTACATACTTTCCTTTTTATTGCACTTTGCTTTTAAGAAAATGCTATCCAGAAGTTATCTAATTCAATGAAGCATGAGTCAGAAATAAATTTTTAAAATAACATCATCTTCTTGCCTGCCAGTTGCCTGAAGCTCAGAGATGAGGTCAGCCCTTAGGCATTATTAATGAACTTTATTTAATTTTCATACATTTTCTAAGGACAGTACTTCAGCAAGGTCAATTGAGTACAGCACTACTATTGAAAAGCAAAAGCTCTCCTGGAACACTTCTCATTTAGTGCCCCACCCCTGTTCCCCAACCGCAGGCATCCTAACTGTCCCACATGCCCCAGGAGCCAGCTGCATTCACATTCTCAGTCGTGCCCCAGACAATCTCTTCAATGCAGTGGACAAAAGCAAAACGGTCTGTGTCCATCCATGGCCTTCCAGTCATCCATTTCTAAATGCTTAAACACCAGGTGGCGGTCTGCTGTTCCTCTTTGCTCACTACTCACCCCTTTCCTGTTTTCCTTCCCCGTAGCTGACATCCCTCTACTTTATTTATTTATTTTTTAAATATATGTTTTTACTGATTTTTGGAGAAAGAGAAACATGGATTGGCTGATTGGCTGATTGGCTGCCTCCGTTGCATAATGCATGTGAGTACCAGAAACAAGAATTATTTAAATAAAAACCCGGGTGTAGGCTGCATCTGCACATGCACAGCATGATGAAGCATACTGAGGCCAACCATGGGGACAGCTTCCGGCACTCACACCACAGGGATACATCTGCCAATGGACAGGAAAACGAGGGTGAAGGAGGGAGTGAGGGGGAAGAGAGGAGTGTGGCTCAGTTCTGGTTCTGGAACTGATTGGCCAGCCAGTACAGTCCCTCATAGAGCCCAGCCCCAGTGATGGCAGAGGTGGCCTGAAGGTACCAGTTCCTGTGGTGCAGAGAGTGCAGGCCCAGCTTGTCTGTGATCTCAGCTGCGTTCATGGCATTGGGGAGGTCCTGCTTGTTTGCAAGCACTAGCAGGACAACATCCTCGAGCTCTGTCATCATCCGCATTATCTCCTGTCTGGCCTCGTCCATGCGTTCTTGGTCAGTGCTGTCCACCACAAAGATGAGACCTTCTCCGTCTTTGCAGTATCGGCTCCACAGAGGCCGGATCTTGTCCTGGCTGTTTACGTCCCACACGACGAAGCTGATGTTCTTATACTCCAAAGTCTCCACATTGAAACCTATCGTGGGCATGGTTTGCACGACCTCATTCAGCTTCAGTTTGTACAGGATGGTGGTCTTCCCCGCAGCGTCCAGGCCCACCATGAGAATGCGCATTTCTTTTTTGCCAAAAAGGCTCTTAAAGAGATTTGCAAAGATATTTCCCATGCTGTAGACCAGAGGGAGTAACAATGGCCAGAGAAACCCTTGGCAGTCACGGTGCTGCTGCTGCTGCTGCTGCTGCTGCTCTGAGCCAGGCACTGGTTCTATTTTGTCACTCTTTAGCAGATATTTGTTGACCCTTATTCTAATTCTTTTCATTGCTCTGACACTTGCACACTCACTACCAATTAACTCAGTATTTAAAGTTCAAAGTCCAGAGAAAGTAAGTGACCGGTGCAGTTTCAATTGGTCTAGATTAGATGATTCGTCACCATCATCCTGGCTCAACAGAACTGTTTTACTGGACTCTCCTCGGGGTGGCACTTGGCTAGGATGATGAGCCAGGGGGTAAGGCACCTATCTATGCGGATCACTTCAGGGACCACTTCAAGAAGTTTGGCCAGCGCAGTACCTTGCACAACCTATCTCCCAGGCACAGAGCATCCTTCTTTTTGTCCCTGCAGTTCTAGGAATCCAGGGGAAGTGAGATGGCCTGTGGAAACTCTGGGAATTTCTGGCTTTTCTTGGAAAGCTCGATTTCTCTCAACACTGCCCCATCATCCCTGAAGAAGCAACAATTGACTGGAGCTGAGTAGAGACTTTTTTTTATTATTATTATTAATTAAATCTTTATTGTTCAGATTATTACATTTGTTCCTCTTTTTCCCCCCCATAGCTCCTCTCCACCCAGTTCCCACCCTACCCTCCTCCCTCACTCCCCATCCACTGTCCTCATCCATAGGTGCACGAATTTTGTCCAGTCTCTTCCCGCATCCCCCTCACCCCTTTCCCTCCTCAAGAATAGCCAGTCCATTCCCTTTCTATGCCCCTGATTCTATTATAATCACCAGTTCATTCTGTTCATCAGATTATTCACTTGATTTTCAGATTCACTTGTTGATAGATGTGTATTTGTTGTTCATAATTTGTATCTTTACCTTTTTCTTCTTCTTCCTCTTCTTAAAGGATACCTTTCAGCATTTCATATAATACTGGTTTGGTGGTGATGAAGTCCTTTAGCTTTTTCTTATCTGTGAAGCTCTTTATCTGACCTTCAATTCTGAATGATAGCTTGGCTGGATAAAGTAATCTTGGTTGTAGGTTCTTGGCATTCATCACTTTGAATATTTCTTGCCACTCCCTTCTGGCCTGCAAAGTTTCTGTTGAGAAATCAGCTGACAGTCATATGGGTACTCCCTTGTAGGTAACTGACTTTCTCTTGCTGCTTTTAAGATTCTCTTTGTCTTTGCTCTTGGCATTTTAATTATGATGTGTCGTGGTGTGGTCCTCTTTGGATTCCTTTTGTTTGGGGTTCTCTGCGCTTCCTGGACTTGTAAGTCTATTTCTTTCACCAGGTAGGGGAAGTTTTCTGTCATTATTTCTTCAAATAGGTTTTCAATATCTTGCTCTCTCTCTTCTTCTGGCACCCCTATAATTCGGATGTTGGTACGCTTGAAACTGTCCCAGAGGCTCCTTACACTATCTTCGTATTTTTGGATTCTTTTTTTATTTTGCTTTTCTGGTTGGGTATTTTTTGCTTCTTCATATTTCAAATCGTTGACTTGATTCTTGTAATCCTCTAGTCTGCTGTTGGGAGTCTGTATAATATTCTTTATTTCAGTCAGTGTATGCTTAATTTCTAGTTGGTCCTTTATCACAACCTCGAGGGTCTCATTAGATTTCTTGTAGATCTCATTAAGTTTATCAGCAGTTTCTAGAAAATTCTTGAAAAACCTTAAAAGTGTGGTTTTGAACTCTATATCCAGTAGTTTGCTTTCCTCTATTTCTGTCATTTGTGTCCTTTTTCTTTGTCTCCGCATTTTTATGCTTCCCTGTGTTTATAAAATGGTTTTATGGTTTTTCTGTGCTGAGTGTCCTCTAGGGCCCAGTGGTTCAGCCTCCCCAATTACCTGAGGAGGACACTCTTGGTGCACCCCCCCCCCCCCCCCGTGGGCTTTGTGCACAGTCTTGTTGTAGTTAAGCCTTGATTGCTGTAGTTATCACTGGGAGAAACTGACCTCCAGGCCAATTGGCTGTGAGAATCAGCTGTGTCTGCAGTAGGAGAACTTCTGTGCTGGAGACACCCCTCTGGGGCAAGACTTGCTTCACTGGGGCTTTGGTGCTCACTGAGTCTGCCCCCTGAGTGTGTCCTTTATGGTTCCACGGAGCTGCAAACTGGATGGTCCCACTCTGACCTCTGGGTTTCCTGGCTCCTGGATCTCTAGGGAGGTGCTAATCTAGCCTTTGCCTGAGGCAATCCAGCAAAAGCCTCCCTGCAGGGCTTGGGCGGGGCAGGTCCCACAGGATCAACAGGGCGGGGCTAGCAGTTATGGCTGCTCTCAGTCTTGCCCTCAGAGACTCTGCTTCTCAGTGTCCTGATAATCACTGTAAGACCCTGGGAGAAAAAGCTGCCCTCGAGTTCTGACCAATGCCAGACGGTCCCGCTTCTCCCGTATGAGTCTGGGTCCCTAGAGACTCTCCCAGAACTGGAGCTCAGAGCCTGAGACTCCCTCCCGATTGAAAACAACAACCGTGCCCTCAGCCGCCAGCCCACTCTGCATGCACCTCCGCACCTTTGTATTTTACTTCCGTGCTGCACCTCCTCTGAGTCTCAGTATGTTTTTCTCTTTCCTTCTAGTTGTAGAATTTCCACTCAGCCAGCCTTCCTGTGGTTCTGGATGATGTCCATTCCGTCTTTTAGTTGTATTTTTGAAGTGGTTGTTCGAGGCAGCAAACTCCTGTGTTTACCTATGCCGCCATCTTGGTTTCTCCCAGATTCCATCCCTCTACTTTAATGTTAAGTTTCCTCCAAGTGATTCCTAGGCAATCTACCCCATAATTACTTGGTGGAAGAGGAGAGTGGTTATTACAAGAAACAGATTTCTAGGCCACAGCAAGTCAGACATTCTGGGAAGGGTATCCCATGAATCTCTAGATTGATGAAACTAGATAAAGCAGCCCTGGAGACCTTTTATGCACATTAAAACTTGAGACTCACTCTATCAGAAAACATTTCTCTAAGAGAGTTATAAATGACTCCCAAATACCTGGCATTAGTCAATTGAATATTCCATACTTTAGAACAGACTCTTGCCTTGGCTTCAAAAAGTAGACCTATTTCCTTTTTCCTCCTACTTACCTCACCCTGCATCTCAACTATTAATCTTTTGTCTTTCATCTTAACATACCTTTATTCTGTAAGATACCTTTTTTTCATGTTTCAAGTAAAGCTTGCCCTGTACTTCAGCACTGTGTCTTCAAATGTCCTCCATCCATTTCCACCAGGACATCCAACTGATTTCTCACTCACTAAGTTTCAAGGCTGCTATGTCTTTCCCACAAATATTGCTACCAACTAAATTCATTCATTCATGTCTTCATCCAAAATAACTTATTAAGCACCTAGTTTGTGCTACCAGCTAGTGATACAATGGTGAGCAAAAAGACAGTATCTGATCTTATAAAACATACATTCTGCTAGAGGTATGGGATGGGGCAGATAGGTATAAATATACTAAACAATTATCTGCACCATTATATCATTAAAACGGTGGTAACTGCTACAAAGACAAAATATGGGCAACTTTTTAAACATGTTTTTATCAATATTTAGAGAGGTAGAAAGAGAAAGAGAGAGAGAGAGAAACATCAGCTGGCTGCTTCCTGCATGGCCTCCACTGGGGATCAAGTCTGCAACCCGGGCATGTGCACTGACTGGGAATCAAACCTGTGACCTCTTGGTGCACAGGTTGATGCTCAACCACTGAGCTACACTGGCTGGGGGAAAAAGGATTTTTTAAATATGCATTCCTGTTGAACAAGCAATTCCAATTCTAAGTTTTCTTCATTGACTATCCTACCCAAGTAATTCTCATTCTCTCTCTTTCTCTCTCTCTCTCTCTCTCTCTCTCTCTCTCTCTCTCTCTCTCATTACAGCATGGTTTAAAAATTTAACATTTTGGAAATAAAATTAAATAGCCATCAGAAGGGGGTTATTTAAAATAAAGAATCTCTAATTTTATGTATATATGCATAATCCGTGGACACAGACAGTGGGATGGTGAGGGCCTGGGGAGGAGGGGCAGAGGGCAGGAGTGGGCTAGAAGAGGTTAATGGGGGGGGGGGGGGGGGAGGAACTATGTAATACTTTCAACAATAAAGATTAAAAAACAAACAAACAAGAATCTCTATAGAGGGTGAAGACATGAGAAAGGGCTTACATCCATACTCACGGAATCAGAAAGTTGTTCAACTTATAGCATTAAGTGAAAAAAAGCAAGTTGTAGAATAATATAAAGTATGACTCTATCCTATAATACTCTAATATACATGCATTTAATGTATATTGGCATTTGCAAGAAAATAGTCCAAACAATGTATACTGAATGTTTCTCTGCTGTTCTCTTAAAGATGGAATCATGAAGGATTTTACATTTAGTTCACTTCTGAACAATTTGTTACAAGTGTGTTTCACTTCATAATCAAATTACACTTTTTTAAGCCTGTAAGTTTTGAGTAGGTAGCTCCAGATTTGAACTCTAGCCCTGCCACATCTGTGTTTCCAGATGTGTGACTTTTGATAAATTATTGAGTCTGTTTCTCTGATCTAAATTGAGAATCATTGTGTCCCCCTTGCTTTGCAATATTGTTAAGGCAGTTGTAGTTGTAGCGGCTATTCAAGGGCTAAATCCAGAAGGGCTGGTCTGGCCTGTCGGCTGAGCTGGGTGGTCTTAAGTGTCACACCCACACATGCAGTTGCTGGAAATAGAAATATACTGGCTACAGATCTGGGACACACAGCCAGAGAACCTTGCTGCATAAACCCTTCACAGTCAGTCCTGCCAAATTCGAGGCTCTAATTGCTCACCCTAGTTCCCTCTGGCCTTTATGATGACAAACCAGTTGGCTTTGCCCACGTGTCCCTTAATCCTCTGATCTGGACTGGGTACTGTATGTCCTTAGCTCCGATGTAATGCTTATTTCATCAGGTTAGCTCTCTGTTCCCAAATGCACTCTGGTAACCAAGTGCCTACAGAAAGAGGTCTAAACACCCTCACCAGCCCCTCGGGGTCAGAGATCTGACCCCTTTTCTTGTGCATTACTAGATTTCATTTTCCACTGTCCCCCAAAATATGTCTTCCCCTACTTCCTTTTTTGATCAAATACTTTATGCCCTATCCTGACATCTGCCATTCTGTCTAAAAACTCCCACCAGCCCTGTGGTTTTCTGAATCTGTCCATCAAAAAACAGGTGTTAATAAGAAGATGAAACAAGTATAGAGTGCCATTATGAAAACTCCAAGGCAGCCGTGATGTGTATGTTATGACATGAAAATGTCTATGGAAATCAGGAGCTAAAATGCAGAAAGGGTAACAAAAGAAGCACAAATCTGAATATAAAATTAGATTTAGCTTTTATGTAGGTTTTTTTCAGTGTGGTTTAAGTGACCACCTGTATCAAAATCCCTCAAGAAGGTGGTCAAAATGAAGGCTCCCAGGCCCCACCCAAGTTTACTGAATAATCTATGGGGGTGGGATGGAAGACATTTTGTCTTATTTTCGAGGGGTGGGGGGACCGTCTGAGAAGCACTTCCCTAGTTACCTTTCTAAAGTTTTCAATAACATATATTTGCCA